ATTTAGAAAAGTCAGGCATACTCTCAATAACGAAAACTTTTCATCAAATTTTTTCTTATTCTTTTTTTTTTCGATGCATTTTTCTATCATGAAGGTTAGGAAGTAGACGACACCAATTAATAATTAACAAATATATAGTCCGTATTGTTTACAGTCTGATTGCTTTCAACAATACTAAACTACTCTACTCAATACTAAAATAGGTGATTCTATGTTTCTTTTTTTAAATATTATCATTACTCATCTGTCGTTATATACAACAATGTTTTTTGCTTATTTTTAGTTTCATCATTGTTTAATCATGGGTGATTGATCTTTTTCACTCTGTACAAAATATTATCAAAAAAGAAAAACACATTACACCTCGATGAGTTGAATAGAAGAAGGAAAAAAAAATGTTTAAAATACACAGACACAGACATACACTTGTTTGAGAAAAATGACACACATGAAGAAACAAGAAAAAAGAAAACATAATCATGACTAGTCATAGATATATAAGGAGAGAATAAAAACACTAATGGGACGGACAAATTAGCACCAAATTAATAAATTATATGAATAAATTAGTTTGGTGAGGAAGATATTGTTGGTTTCCATGGTTTAACACGAACTCGATAGAATTTTGTACCTAATTGTACATTAAAACGATTATTTGGTTTTTTTGCTTGACAATATTCTTTATCGGTAACTTGACCAAGAAATGGAGTTGTTGATGGATTTAATCCATTATTTCCAATTAATGTTGAATTAATCATAGATGTATTTATAAGTGATGGAATATTTGTTGAATTTTTTCCATTATCAGTTGATATTGAATCAATTACATTTGTATTATTATTTATTTGTTGATTGAAATTTTGTTTTTGTTGTATATTAAATAATTCATAACAATCTGAATGTATAAAATGAAGTGTTGGTAAATAAGTAAATATCCTATATTGCTGATATATTGTATCAAAAAAAATAATAACATGATCGGATCTATTAACAGTAAAAAAAGCAATTGGTGCTGCTTGTGGTGATGAATTTGTTGTTAATGTTGATATACATGATGTTGATGATACAATTGGTGATGAACTAACAACTGAACATATAGGAACAGTTGTTTGTGTTGATAATGGAATTGTTATTGGATTTGGTGGTGATGCAGCAAATGGTGTATATAATTCTACAGCATTACTTGATTCACCTGGAGATGCTTTAAAACATGTATCCATTAAAATATTATTAACTGTTGGTTGTTCACTTGAATAGAAAAAGAAAAATTATTAGAATTGTTTTTATATTTACCAATATTAAATTTTTGTTCTAAAGGATATAATTAATGAATTTTATTGTGAATGAAAAATTGATTGTATGTCATTGTAAACAGTTTTAATGAGTAGAGAGAAAAATAAACATATATTGATGTGGTCAAGTGTTATAAAATTTGCAGTTTAGATCAGGGTGAGAAAACAAAAAAAGTCAAAACCAATCAGATGTTCGTTATCAGCATCGAATTCTATAACAAATAGTACTTTTTTTTCCTCAGAATTCAATCTTTTTGAACTGAAAAATTTTCGAGGAAAATAAAAATTGAAATTTTGATTTAAGGCTTCTCCCTATCAACAATCTATTTTCGTTCCGGAACAACCGATCTATCTGAAAATATGGGTGTGGATCTAGAGAGCTTACAGTAAAGATTTCAGCCCGAAATATTGAATTCTTCAAGAGTTATTCTTACATCAAGGAGTCAAAAGTAAGTCTCCATGCGTCCCAAATTTAATCATACAGATTTCGGATTGGGCATCAAGATGTAACCAATACTTACCACTACAATTTAAGAGAACCTGAATTTTTAAATTATTCTTTGTTAAGTTTTCATATCGGTTTTCTCCGAAAAGTTCAAAAAAAAAATACGGATCCTACTGTTTTTTTCAAAAACTAAGTGAAAAATAAAAAAATTGGCTCTATTAAGTTATTAAGCAAAATTTTCTCTTCAATCTAAAATCTTCTCAAACTTTCTACCATGTAAAATGATTGAGAAAGCAGGGACGTACGAACAAAAAAAAAACGGCAAACAAAATTGAGCTTTGTAAATCCAAATTTTTTCCTTCGTAGAATGATTCACAAGAGATTGAATGAAGGGAATGTATGAAGCACAATTGCTAGAGCATACGGTATATATTCTCCAAGTCAGAAGTCTTTAAGCAAAGTCATAGAGCTTCAAAAATTACAATCTAACGGACATCTTTTGTTTATGAATTTTTCCGAATATCTCTTAAAACCATCGTAAAAACTAAGAATAATAGTAATTCTACAAGTAGAAAATATAGGCTATTCGATCATGTAGAAAGCTCAAAAATCTATATTTTTGACCGATAGCTTTAACTTAATTCTCCATATTGTTCAAAGTTCGATGCTGATTTCAAATATGTACATTCTTATGAACAAAACAAATGTAAAATGTTTAACAGTTTAAAAAACATTACTAAATTCGGACACTGATGAAACTCTGTAACACAGTATTGCGAGAAAACAGATACGAATATTAAATAAAACTAGATTGATTAATAACTAATTGAAGGATCTTTGTTTAACGATGTATTCTACTATCATCTTTTATATAAATTTTCATGTTGTTCAATTTAAAAAGGATTCTATATATGTCGAGAGCACTCCATATTACTCAGGAATAGAAATTCATCCATTCTAAATCCTATCGATCATTTTCTTTTCAATGATAGATTCAGTTTTCTTCACTTTTAAGTATGAAATGTTCTTAATTTATTTTCCAAATATATCTTCGTATGTTTTCAATTCTCTAATGATTTCGAAAATATTAAGATAAATACATGGAAAGATAGGTCGAAACCATAAATGATACGATATTTTATTCAGCATCTTCTTTTTCTCTGAGAATCTTCATTCTATATATTGAAGTTGTTCTATTATTGGAAAGAACATGTTAAGATGCAGGTCATAAAAGAGATCCTTCGTTGAATTAAACTTTGTTACTATCATTTTTGTTTCCACTTACAAAGTAAGAATTTAAGAAAAGAACTCTCCACCCTGACATACTCTCTTACGACGGAACCTTTCGAGGTGCTAAAAAGCTTTTGAGCCCAAATTTTGTCCATAAGTAGGGGATATATAGACTAGGAAAAGCCTAAGATGATATCGGCCCAAGTTGCGATTTGGATGAGATATCAGCTTTTTACTAGAATTTTCCTATAGGACCCCATTTTCTCGATAAGATGAAAGTTTCGAGTTTTGAAGTGAAATTTTGCCCATATCAAGGTCTCAACTAGAGTGGCTTATTTACAAAGTTTCAAAGTTTTTAGACTAGGCATTACCGAGATATAATATTTTCAAAATATCTATGCGTAAAAGGATATCCGTAAAAAGCGTGTTCATGATAACAGGCTCATATCTCGGTAATGCTTAGTCTAAAAACTTTGAAACTTTGTAGATAAGCCACTCTAGTTGAGACCTTGATATGGGCAAAATTTCACTTCAAAACTCGAAACTTTCATCTTATCGGGAAAATGGGGTCGTATAGGGAAATTCTAGTAAAAAGCTGATATCTCAGCCAAATCGCAACTTGGGCTGATATCATCTTAGGTTTTTTCTAGTCTATATATCCCCTACTTATGGACAAAATTTGGGCTCAAAAGCTTTTTAGCACCTCGGAAGGTTCCCTCGTTAGACAAAAAGAAATGAAGTATATAGAGTGAAAGATCACAGAGAATTTTGGGTTATCACATAAACTATTTTTGATTCCTTTGTTTGTCAAATATTTCTCGAAAGTGTAATGATATAGGATTGAACATTTGATCAAAAGAGTCATGTGGTAATTTATTTCTTATATCATTTGAAAATAATTTAATTTTGTAAAGACGTTTTTCTCTATCTTGAAATTTATGATAATTAAAATAATCAAAAATGAATAATTACGTTTTTGGTGATGTTGCAGCATTTCCAGCAGCTAACATACTTTGAACAAGAAATGTACTTGGCATTGAAATAGGTTCACTACGTTTAATAAATGTTGCTCGATTATTTATTTCATCAGATAAATGATTTTTTTCATCTTTATTTAATTGTTGTTCATCATCATTTGATGTTGTCATAACAGATTTTGTTATAGATGGTATTAAAGTTGGTGATGATATTGATGATGCATAAAAATTTTGTAATTTTTTAATACATTCTTTTAATTTAGTAATTTTTAAACGTTTATCTTCTAATTGTTGTTCTAAAAATCCAATTTGTTTTTTTTGTACATCTGTTGCATTTACAACAGCACGCTGTATAGCTAAATTAAATTGTTTTTGTTGATCTTTTGTTGTTAAACGATGTATTATTTCATCATTATCATCTAATGATGTTTGAATTGATTGATTATTAAATTCAATTTGATTTGTTTGTATTAATTGATTTTCAGTTGTTAATATAATACTTGTTTGTTTATCAAATGTTATTAATTGATCTGTTTGTATATCAATTGTTGTTGTTAATATTTCATTTTTATCTTGTTCATTAGAAGATTTTTCAATTTCAAAATCAAAATCTGATTGAAGTGCTTTAACAATTTCTGATTTTTCAATTTCAGATGTACGACGAAATTCATCAAAATTATTTACAAGTATTTCATATTTTGATGTTAATTCTTGTTTTATTTGTTCATTTACATCATATTGAATCTAAAATAAAAGAAAACAAAAATAAAAACAAAATAGATAATAAAATAAAATACTTTTAATGTTTCATTATCTTGAATATAATTATTTATTTCTGAACGTAATTGTTCAATTTGTTCTTGATATTGATTATTTGATTGTTGAAGATTTGTAATAATTTTTAAAATAATTTCATGATAATTTAATAAATAATCATGTTGTATTTTATTTGTTTGTTCATATTGATTTTTTAATGAAATAAAATCATTACGTATAGAATGTGCATATTCATTATCAGTTTGTTGTGATGCACAAGGACGATGAGGAGGAGAAACAGCCATTTCAGTTGATGTATAAACAGCTTCAAGAGTACATTGAACATAATCATCTTCTTCTTCATTGTTACTTGTTGTATTTGTTGTTGTTGTACTTATAGCTGATGTTTCATTTAATTGATTCTCTGATGAAGATTTTGTTATTGAGAGTATTTCTAAATGAAAGTAATAGTTTGTTAAAATCAATTTGTTTTACTTAGTTATAAATAAATAAAATTATAAAAATTGAATTTGTGTAACAAGAAAATATATAATGAAATTTTGTACAACATTTAACTGTATAACTATGTGCATTATGTAAATCCAAATGAGTTATGAATACCATGAAAAGAATTTGTGTGCTTAGCTTATTATTGTGGAGATACAGGATTTTTATGGTATTTTTTAAATACAAACGACTATTCTTGTTAAGAGTTTTCTTGATGCAAAGTTTCAAGTAGATATTTGAAAATCTGTTCTCCTGAAGAGGACTACGACATTCATTTAAGGCGTCCTGTTAAAAATCTATTTTCGTCCCAGGACAACCGATCTATCTGAAAATATGGGTGTGGACCTAGAGAGCTTACAGTAAAGATTTCAGCCCGAAATGTTGAGTTCTTCAAGAGTTACCTCTGTATCAAGGGCGCAAAAGTAGGTCTCGATGCTCCCCAAATTTAACCATACAGATTTCAGGTTAGCATCAAGATGTAACCAACACTTATCGCTACAACTTAAGAGAGCCTGATTTTTTAAACTCTTCTTTGTCAACTTTTTGTGTCAGCTTCTCTTGAAAAGTTCGAAAAAATAGGGGTCCTACTATTTTCCTCAAAACCTACGTCAAAAACAAAAATTCGGCTCTGTTAAGTTGTTGAGCACAATTTTCTCTTCAATCTAAAACCTTCCCAAGGTTTCTAGCATGTAAAATGGTTGAGAAATTATGGACGCATGAACAAAAAAACTCGTTTTGAGGAAAACGGCAAACAAAGTTGAGTTTTGAAAATTCAAATTTTTCCTTCGTAGAACGACTCACAAGAGATTGTATGAAGCGGACTTTCTAGAGCACATGGGATATGTTCTTCAAATCAGAAGCCTATAGATAAAGTCATAGGGCTTCAAAAACTGAAATTTACTAAACATTTTCTGCTTTTGAATTTTTCCGAAAACCTCTCGAAACCATCGTAAAAACTAAGAATAATAGTAATTCTGAAAGTAGAAAATATGGACTATTCGATCATGTAGAAAACTCAAAAATCGATATCTTTTGACAGGGAGCCTTAAAAACTATCATAAAAGTGCATTATCTCCGCAATAAAAAGGTAAGAGCACGAACTCTATTTCACAATATTTATAGCTTATTTGGATCTACATAGTGTCGATTCGAAAGTGATTTATCAGTTGGAGGATCTCTCTTGTAAGATAATTTGTATTAATGGTTTTTTGAATTGAGATCTGATATCTCAGAAATAATCATCATTTTTCATTTTTCGTTTCGAAAACAATGCCGATTAAAAGAAATATATATATCACCAGATCTCGACATTCGAAAAACAAAGAATTTGAATATTAGAAAGTCTTACTGATAGTCTATATATATATAAGGTAAAATAGTCTCTAACAATGACTAGTGTTCTCTCTCATAAATTTACCATTTATATATTTCAATATGATTATAACTACTACATAGAAATTCGAACACATGAAGAATTAAAATACTAGTGATGGGATCGATTCGTAGTTTTTTTGGAACTAAACCGATCCCATTTCTGTAAACTATGTTAAATCTTAATTTATATCGTACAATAATTTGTTAAGCAAGGAGAATAAAAAATAATCTTAAAGAAAACACTTTGAATGTTATGTTGATGATTTCATCGAATTCTATTCTATAGAAACGTTCTTCTTTCTGAAAATGAACAGAGAGACTTGAAGTTTTTTTTTTTGTTATTTTATTATCTAACCTTTTTCTGTTGGTGTTTCATCATTTTTATCTTCTTGTTCAATATTTGATTGATTTTCATTTATTTTTTGAATAATATTTTCATTAATAATTTGTTTTAATTGATCTTCTGATATTAATGTTTGTGTTAAAAGTAATTCATTCGGTGATTCAACATCCGATGTTGATGAAGAACGAATAACTGTTGATCGACTACTACTAGTTGTTGGTGATGGAATTTGTTTTTGTATATCTTCATTAATCATTGTTGTTGTCAATGGAATAAATACTGAAAGTGGTATAGTAGGTGTTGGATATTCTTCTTGATGAAATATTTGAGTACAACGAATAAGTGAAGCAAGATTTGTTATATAATCAACAGGAGTATTTTCACTAATTAATCAAAAATAATATAAAATTAAATCAAAAAAAAAAAAAACAAGAAAATACTTGTTCTGTTGTCTTATTTCAGGAAATTCTTCAAATAATTGATCAAGTTCATTTGATGTTATATTCGGTAAATTTATATCCAATAATGGTAATGGTTCTTTCTATTATATTAAAAAATAAATGAATTTATTTATTAGAAACAAAAACAAAACAAACAACTGAATATAAATCTTACAATGAAAAATGTTGGCAATATTTTAAGAGCTGGTAATAAATTAAATAGAAAATGTGGTTCTAAAATAAGAAATTTTTTAAATACAATAAATAAATAAATCGATATATCTTACCATACTGTTTAATAAACTGTTCTCGTTTAGATATTTCATCATTATAAATATTCTTTGTTTCATAATAAATTGTTTCGGAAAACTACAAAAAAAAAAAAAACAACAGATTAAAGAATTTTTAATCGTTTGTGTTTTTTTTGAATTAAGAAGAAAAAAAAAAGACAAGAATCGAACTTGATTAAAAATGTTTGAATATTGTTTTCGTCTAATACATTCATTTAAAAATAAATAATAAAGATTAGGTGCTTGATTAAGTTGTTGTAAAAATGCGAGAGTTTTTCTTGTACGATTTAATTTATGAGTATATACTGATAATTTAGTATCATAATCAACTAAATTTCGTTGAAGAAGCATAAGATTTCTGAAAAAAAGAAAAATTTATTTTATTTCATTTTAATTGAAAATGAAAAATTTGATTTTCATCTTACTTAAATCTTCGATGTAATTGATCAATAATTTCTTGTTTTGATTTTCGAATTTTTTTTTCAATATCAATTAATTTTTTATGTCTTTTACTAATTTCAATTAGATTTTGTGCATGTATACCCGATATATCTTTTATTAATGCCCAATCTCTTTGATTACCAATATTTGAACTAAATCTTTGTCGTTGACTTATCAAATACTAAGAATAAAAACAAAAAAAAAAAAGAAAATTAATTTTTTTATTTATATTCTTTATATACATCGGCACAATCTTTTTGTTCATGTTGTAAACGTTTTGCATTTGTTAATTCATTTTGTAAAAGTGCAAATCGTTCTTCAATACCAACCATATGTTTTAATTCATGATTTGAAATTTTTTTAAATAAAGTATCAATTTCCACATTTAATGAAGATAAAAGTTCATCTGAACACTAGAATATATTTTTCAAATTAAAATTATTATTATTATTATTCTAATATAAAATATTTTATTTACCCCATCAATAAAATTTATGCATCCATGGATTATATCATCAATTTTCATATTGGCTAACTAATTAAACAAAAACAAAGATTTTATATCGAATTGGTCTTTTCAAAAGAAAAAAGTTATTCTATTAGAAGTAATTTCTCGCCTAATGTCTAGGGTTCTCGATTAGGAGGGACATCCTTCCCCAAAATGTCTGACTTTTTGCTAATTATTTACAGCTGCATGATAACCGGATTTTGAGGTATCATTTACCTGTTGCTGGCAAAAAGTGAAATAAAGATAAGTAGACAATACTTTTACAAGGTGACTAGGATTGGGGTAGACCCTGTGGGAGAGATGGCTTGGTAGCAGATGGTGTGTTGTCGGAGAGACCGAGTCACAATGAATTTCGTTCTCCTTTGACCCGTTCACCACTTCACATGTCGTACAGAACGGCTCATGAACTACCTTAAACGACTGCCATTACGATGGTCGTTTTCACAACATTTTTCATTGTTTCAAAAAGTATTCTAAAATCATCGTTAGACACTTTCTAATAATCTATAATCGATTGATAATTGCCTGTTGAAAAAAATCATATCTTTTTTAATGTAGATTTCTTTCACCATCTAGTTCAATAGTAAGTATTATATTTGAATAAATATATTTATTTAGATTTATCTTAATGAGATATGAAATAATAAATATTTAATACATCTATTTAGGTTTATCTCATAGATATATTCAATAGTAAGTATTTTGCTTAAATATTTTTATTCCTTTTTTAGATTTTTCTCATTGAAATCTTCAACGGTACGTATTTTTTTTATGTAGATTTATCTCAATGAAATATAGATTAGGAAGGATTTTATTTAAACAAACAAAAATTGTTTCTTGTGCTCATGAAAAGTGAGGAAGGGACGAAATATCGTGCTTTTCTTCACTGAAGGCAGACGGCAAAAGATAAATAAAGTCGTAAACGAGAATAACTGGTGTAAATAAGACACTATACGGCGAGAACATTACCATAATACTACTAATCGTTGCCTGCCGGAAACAGCTTTAAACAGCGTCATTTACGTTCTAAGGAAAAACGGCCCGTAATACGAACTGATGGAGAACTGTTAAAAAAGGTGAAAAACGGCGGTCGTTTAAGGCAATCATCACGCCGTTTCAGTCAATTTACAATGTTATTTTCAGCCGGTCGGAGGATCGACATGGGCTCTAGGATTCCGAAGATAAAAGCACTTTCTCCAAGAATTTTCGAAGTTTCTACCGAATTTTTAATCTATCCTATCCCTAAAAAACATCGACAACCTTACTCATGCCTAATGATAATTATCTTTGTTCTTTGTTTTATTTCGTAGCTGAAAATATCGAATTTTTAACATGAATAGTTTATTAAGAAAGATTTCGCAATACATTTCAATATTCATGTTTAAAATAGAAATAAACAAAAGAACTGAATATTTAACAATAAACAAACGAGGAAACCACGGAAACTGATACCCACTGTTTGAGTTCATGTTTTAACTACAAGAACGTCTTGATGAGACTAACAGAAGCCTGAAAAAAGTCTATATATATGGATTTTTGAAGTCAAGTTATGGCTATTTTACTGAATTTTCGATCTCGTTTTAGGTATATATATCACAAAAATAAAAAATCAGTATTTCGACATAAAATTATGTCCATAAATGGATCGAATGATCTGTAGAACATATTGAAAGTTTTAGCCGAAATGAATATTTCTTGATCAAAATATTGATTGTACAAAAAATAGTCATTTACTTCAGACATGTCACAAAAAAAATTGAGTTTACTTGAAAATTCAATATTTCGATAAAAGAATATTCTTTTCAACTGAAACTTTCAAAATGTTTTATAGGTCATTCAATCTATTTATGTAGAAATTTGATGTCGAAGTTCTGTTTTGTTTTTTTTGCAATATATATCTAAAACTGGATAAATAAAAATTCTCATTGACTAATATATTAGACATGTTATAGTTCACATATTGATTAAACAAAAAAAAATATCTCTGCATCTGTAATGGAAAAATTTATTTAGATTTTTTTTTTGTTCTAAATGAAGTTATTCTATATGATTATTTATAAAGAAAAAAAATTAGAAATGAAATAATTTAATTACTTGAGCAGTAATCCATTCAAATAAAGTCATATCTCCTCTTGTTTGTGTATCATTATCATTTTGTGGAGAATGATTCGTACTTGTTGTTACTGAACTAATCGATGATGATGATGTTGATGATGATATAGTTGATTTATAATTAATTCCACCAGAATTATCAATTAAAGTTATTAATTGATATGGAAGTTTTAATTGATGAAGAATTTTGATTGCACGAGGAAGACTAAAATTTGATTTAAAAAAAAAAAATGTTCTTTTTTTTTAGATTCATTATTAGAAGAAAAATCAAACCTCTGAAAAAGTTCTAAATATGATGGTCTTTCCGATAGATAATTTTGATATAAACGATTAAATGAATTTCGATTAAGTGAAAAACTTCTATAGAAAAAATAAATTAATAAAACAAAAGAAAAAAATTGAAACAAACGAGAGTGTATCTTCAATATTAGCAATAACAGCCATCCATCCTTGATATTGTGCTTGTTGATCACGAATAAATTTTCCACAATTTTGAATTATTTTTTGTGCATATTTATTAAAATTCTTAAAAGAGAAAAAATTAAATTAAATTAAAATAAATAAATATCATATCTAACTTGTGCTGTATCAGCTCGTTGAACAATTGTTTCATAAGTTGATGGCATTGATAACCATTGTTGAACAGTTGCATCATCTAATATTGGTATACTACTTGATGTTAATGATATTTGTAATGGAAGTGATCGTTCTAAATGTGATTTATCCAAAAGATAAATTGGATTTTCTTCCTAAAGAAAAAAAAAAAGATGATATTTATTTAATAATTTCAAAAAAATAAAAATAAAACAAACCGTTCCAGCACATGTTTCACGTGTTTTCATACAAACTTGTACAGCATCATCATCTAATAATTCTCCTCCATTTATAATTAATATTTGTTTTGATGATAATATTCCATGTTCATGTTCAATTGTTGATTTTAATGTTTTTACACTAAATTTTAAATATAAAACAAAATATAAATAATCATCAAAAAAAGAAATTTATTAAAACATACTCTTGAAATGCTAAATCAGTTTCAAATGTATAAGTTTCACCAATATCAACACGAAATACATAAAGCATTTTTTTTTTTAGTTATTTTATTTTTGTCAAATGTCAATATGTAAATTCATTAAATACAAAGAAAAAACAAATAATAGTAAATCTATAATGAATAATCCTTGAATTGATCTTGAGTAAATAGAATAAAATTCAACTCATGAGTATTTTTCGAGTTCAATATTTTTTCTTTGTTTTGTCAATATAATAAATAAAGAAGAGACAACATATGACAGATATCAAGAAAAAAAAAAAAGAAAAAGACGATATATATATATTAGTCTACCATCAAATAGGGATGAATCATCGAATCATTCTCAAATCGTCAACATACTAATGCACTAGGTGGCGCTAATTCACTGAACATTTTTTCCAAGGCTCTCCTTAACACCAATTGTCACTAGATAGGAGACAGTTGTTGTGACGAATTCGAATTTTTCGGCCTCAGAGTTATTTCTGAGAAAATCATCAACTAATTGAGACCAATAGCGAACCATAGAAGTAAACGACCAATGAGACTAGCGCATAATGGCACTATTGTTCTATGTGTAAAGAGGATTGGTCATTCTTTCACATACATAGAAGAATAGCGCACAATAGTACTACTATTCCGCCAATACACAAATGATTTTTATCGTTGTATATGCATAGATTCGACACCATGTTCTTCTCCATGTTTACATTCCGCCCCAAAAACACAAATGATAAAGATGATAATACGAGTTCGTTTATCTTTTTTTCTACTTTTATTCAAAAGGAAGAGGTGTAAACTTTCAATATGTTCAACACACCATTTTCAAGCATAAAAGAAAAAGAGTTTGAATTTTATAAGAATATTTGTTTCTTTTCTATTTTATTCATATAGTAATGTTAACGAACAGTGCATTGCGAGGGAGAGAAAGGTATATTGTTATCGCATTACAGTATTTGTCAATATAACTATATGAATAAAATAGAAAAGAAAAAAATATATTTATAGAATTCTAACTCTTTTACTTCTGTGTTTGAAAATGGTGTGTTGAACACATTGAAAGCTTACACGTGTTCTTTTTGAATAAAAGTAGAAAAATAATAAACGAACTTGTATTATTAGTTTTATCATTAATTAAATATATTTCGTTTAACAATACAATTGATAACAAGTGCAATTTCAACAATTTTTTTAACACTCGTCTTTTGATTGTGCATCGCATCATTTCTTTTTGATTTATCTCTTATAAAACACCTCTTCTTCCATCTAGATCAAGATACAACAAGCAACACGTTTTAGAAAAAAATATGGCTCAAAACTGACGCACAAGCAATAATCTTTTTTGTGTTTTTTTTGTTTGTATCACTGAATTTGTTGTATTTTTCTGTTTCTATACTTGTATGCATTTATTGTAATTCATTTTTTATTTGGAAAAAATAATATTTGAAATAAATAATATTTGAAATAAATGTAACGATCAAGGTGATCGTCAAAATTCAAAGATAGTTTCAATTCAGCAGAAAATAAAAGAAATGATGATAACTTATTGTATGGAGCCGCCATTTTGTGTTATCATTCCCATGCTGAAGCCATTAACGATGATCTCTGTTTGGATTGGTCAAGCTGTGACGATTATTTCTACGTTTGAACATTTTTTCGGAAAAAACTGGAAGTGCAGTTCGGTAGAGAATAATTTTCTCTATCGACTACTATCAATTTTACATTCGGCCCATTCCAAAAACTCAGAGGTCGCCACACGTAGTGCATTTGATATTGATTCGTTTAAATATACATCTTTTTTCTGTTCTGCTTGCATACTATATGTTTATTTGATGCATCATATGAAAGAAGAAGAAGACGAAGAAGCAACAATTGGATTTTCATTTGTCACCAATAGTTTTTTTGTTAAAGGAAAAGAATGTATGGGCGCCATCTAATGAACTTATCGATAAACGATGTTTCATCATGTCATGCAAATTTTATACCTTAGTAAAAGGAAAAAAATATACTTGCATCATTTTTTTTTTTGTTTCCTTTTTATTTACGCACTAAAAACATGCTTAATGGCGTGTATTTCGTTATTCGGAGCATGTGATACGAGCACGCGTATGGATTTTTTTTTGTTACGTTAAATCTATGTTTGAGAATATGGAAAGAAAAATTATCTCTTGACTATTATTCATTTCATTCGTTGAGTTTAAAAAAACAAATAATATATTATTTGAATAGTTATTATGAAATTTAAGCATTAGAAGTGAAGAAAAAAAAAAAAAACAAGATTTTTTTTTTTCTTAGTTGGTAAGTTTAAGAAATAAAATGACGTGTTAAGAAATTTCTTTTTTAATAAAACAACAAAAAATATTATGACTAATAATCAACGTAGTAGAACGTTTGCACTATAATCACTACATCATTACTTTTATTCAATGTTGTGGTTATAAAACACACCAATCAGTGTGAAGATCGGATGAGAGTAAATATGTACCTAGATGAATCTAACTACAATTATATATAAATAAATGATAGATTATCAATATTGGTGATGGTCAGAATAGAGTTACATATTAAACAATTGAGTTTAATAATGATATAATATAAAACCAGTTTGTAATTTGAAGGATTTTTCTCAATGAGAAATGGAATCGATTAATTGAATGGACAACAATACAGAGGATATCATGTCAAATTAAGTTTGACTGCTTTTCTTTTTCTGCAATATACAGGGTATAACAAAACCATTACGACCTACTCTATAACTTAAAGTATAAATGATATCACAAAGTATTTTATACGAAATTAATGCTCATCAAAAATTGGATTTATGAGTGTAATTAGAGCAATTATTGCCTAAGAAATTATTGAAATGTCTTGAATTCGTACTCTACGATTTTCATTCTTCATGTATATAGTTTCACAAGAAATAATAATAGCAGATTCATAATCTCCATCAGAAACTGAATATATAGACGTGTGTCATTTGTATATTTTTGATGAAAAAATTTTTTTTGAACTGACTCAATGAGAAAAAAATTTGATGCTCTCAAAATTGCTGAAGGAGATCATACAAATTTCTGAAAATTTTTCATAAACGTACATTTGTGAGAAGTTTATATTTCTAATAAATTAAAAACTCTATCATTTACAATTAAGCTGGTGAGGGAGTATGATAATTCTTTTATAGATCCGATATATAAAATCTATAGCATTTTTATACCCAAACGGGCTTGTATATTGCAGTTTTTGCTTGTTTTATTACATTTTTCAACAAAAATAATATCGAATTCGTGGTCTCCGTCAAAAATTGTGTTAGTGATATATAAATCAAGATATTTCAGTTCAAAAAAATTTTTTCTCTGGGGCATCTCCCAGGGTTTTTGTTTTCATCAAGAATATACAAATAACATGTCTATAGATTCAGTTTTTGATGAAGATTACGAATCTACTATTCTCTTTTATGAAAATATGTACAGATGTTTACAAAAAAATTTGGAAAAAATTACAAAACTAATATTTGTGGAGATGAATCATAGGGAGTGTGATTTCATTTCTGTTAGATACATATATATCAAATCATGACATCATCTAATCATTTGAAAAATCATGATATCCTCATTTTTTGTATTTTTGGAATAAAGATATACGATCTACCAGGATTATTTATCGTGAAACAAATATTCCACTGAGTACTATCTATTACAATATCGACAAATTAAAACAATCAAATTCACTTAAACATTGAGACGGAAATAGTCGACCATGTGTACGAAGTGGAAAAGAGAAAAAAGCTTTTGATGAATATATACGACAAAACAATGAAATAAAGAAAAAATTGTTCAAAATACATGGTAACTTAGTATCTACATCAACAATCAGTCGTCATTTTCATGAATATGGTTATAAGAATGTTTTACCAAAAGATACTCATCTGTTGAAATCCAGTGAAAAACAACGATGTATACAACGGACTAAACAACATAAAAATAATGATTTTACACGTACGATTTTTATAGATGAATCTTCGTTCCAACTTTTCCATAATACTATTGGTTGTTGGTCAAACATCCAAATGATGAATTAAAATGTGCACACAAAAATTTCATATCTGGAATGCTGTAAACATGAAAGGAGTTTTCACTTGTCACACATTCAGATGTAATCTCGATGGTGCCTATTATTCTCACATACTTGAAAATTACCTTCTATCTACTACTAGACGTAAGTAATAAACGAAAACAATGTAACATTGCTGTTTATTTTTTCACTTTAGGTCAATTTCGTCGAAATTGGCGTCTACAGCAGGACGACAATCCAAAACATCGGAGTAATATTTGTAAACAATTTATCAGCGATGATATATCAGAATTGTTAGATTGGCCATCGAGCAGTCCTGATATTAATCCTATTGAGAATATATGATCGATCATAAAATGAAAAGTTGAAAAAAGAAAACCGAAAAATATTGATGAACTTGAACATTTCTTAGCTGAAGAGTTCAAAAATGTTGAAATTAATATTGTGAAAAATTGTGTAATGTCCATGAGAATAAGATGTTTGTCTGTTATTTTTTCTAAAGGTAAACGAATAAAATATTGAAATATGGTGTTCAATAGTACTCGTCATAGGCTATCAAGCAATATATGAAATAATTTGAGAATGATATATATATATAGAAAAATACTGGCATAACAAGATTTCCAAGTTTTTTTCCCAAACATCTGTACATGAAGAATGAAAATCCTAAAGTATGGGTGCATTTTGGCTTGTAATTCAAGACATTTCAATAATTTCTTAGACAATAATTGCTCTAATTACACTCATAAATCCTATTTTTGATGAACATTAATTTCGTATAAAATATTTTGTGATATCATTTATACTTTAAGTTATAGAGTAGGTCGTAATGGTTTTGTTACACTCGGTATACAATTAAATTACCATGTGACATTCAGATTTATGTCATACACTGGAATGCACTGCAAAACTCAGTTGAACGTGCATTAACGACTATTGTTGGTTCGATGAAGAACAACTTTCATTGCAGTCAGATTGAGTGAATTACTGGTATGTGAACGGTCATTTAAGAAAAGGAAGGATTTTGGAGAATTGCTCTTAGAAAAGAAGGATCTCGTGTTTCACCACGAACAGAGTGCTGCAGTGTCTCAGACATGGAAGTGTGTAAGGAGTAAGAGTGAATACTGGCAGCTCCTGTTAAAAAAAAGATATCTTGCGTGTTAAGAAACATGCCAACGCGATTTCATACGTGTATCTTAATGGAAAGAAGACTGCATTATTCAGAGAGACTGGTTGGGCACCTGGGAAACCTATAACTATTTTGAAAAATATGAGACAGATACTATTGAAGTAACGACCAATGTATATCTCTAGTAGAGAGATGACGAAAGAAGATATTTGTTAGAACTTTTAATCAATCCTTATTTACCCATTTTGTTTACAAAATAGAATAATATCAAATACTAAATAGGCTGGTCAGAATATTCCTCAGCGAGATTCAGCAATTCTCATCTAGCACGCAACAGTAAATTTGCCATTGAATTTATTCAATCTGTGCATAGTTCTGGCTCAAGAAGAGCAGAACTGAAACAGACTTTTTGGGTTCCATCAGCAGGCGTTGATCTCCATCAAAATTGTACAAAAGCATCCAAAACTATTTTCAGAATAAAAAACAGCTGTGAAAAGTAAAATGGGAGCACAATACATTTTTTTTGTTCACTATTTAAAAAATACATTTTTTGCAATATGACCGAAATCAAACATAAAATAGCACTGTATTCAACTATCTGAAGGCAATTATTCACATGAACTAAAACATTCTAATGTTAAGATTTTATCTAAGATATAAATTTTGACGTCAGACTAGAATTTCACTTCAGTCCTGCTGGAAAAATAGAATTCTCAGCAGAAATCTGTTGTCGATAAGAGGACGCACTACGGATAGGTATCAGAGACCGTCACAGAGCACTTTTTTCTGCCCTGCCCTGTGCCCTACCTTACCTTGCCGTGCCCTGTCCTCAGGGCAGAAACAAAAATAAAAATCCGTCCTGGTCCTGCCCTGAGGGCGGGGTAGGGCAGTGCAGAGCCTAAACGTTGAGCTTAGTTATGAGGGAAATTGATAACTTAGTAAAAACTTGTGTCGTTTTTATGCTCAATAGTCGTATCTTTTTTCCTCGTTCGACAGACTATTATTCATGCAAAACAATAGAGAAAGAAATCGCATTAAAATCGATTCATTTTGATTAAAAGTCTATTAAAATAGCTCTATGATCCATCCAATTAAGGGTCCACGCTTTAATTCCAGTTCTAATTTTTCTATTTTCAAAGATTTTTTCAATTCTTTTTAATCGATTAATATGATTTGCCAATTATTACTAATTAAGATTATTAACGAATTATAATTGATCAAAAAGATTTGAGAAACTCTTAAAAACTGTAAAAAAATCTAAATGTTAGGCTAAAGGTAATATTATAAATGGGTGAAAATAGTGCCATGTAACAGATTTTAAATCAAACGTTATCGATATTCGTCCAGTTTCTCTAGGTTTTTCTAAGTGGATGTATGACACTAGTAGAATATTTATATAAAAACAATATATCTATCAATAAAGCTAGTAGATATTTGTAATTGATTATCATTATTTAATGAAGTCAAGAATCGAAGGTTCTTCCGTATTTAGTAGAAGATGAAGATTCATTTCTTATTATATGATATGAATGCTTTTGATGTGCTATGAGATCTTAGATGTTCTCAAAATCAACAAAATTCTTGCAAGACGGTGATGAATTAGAAGGCGTACATGATCGAAAAGATATAATGAAATCAACTGAAGACATGGAGTTATCAACATTTGGTGAGATTACATAGAATATATATGTTTTCAAAGTCTTATATTTACATTTAGAGAATATTTCTCCAATGACTTTTTACGAAAAAAAATAGCAGGGCAAACTATTTTGCCCTGTCCTCAGGACAGGGCTAAAAATAAAAATTCGTCCTACCCGGTAGAGCAGGGCAGTTCTGCCCTGTGACGGTCTCTGATAGGTATCTCATAGCAAGTAAACCGATTCTTCGTTCGTATCAGAAAAGTCGTTGAATTTGATATAATCGGGATGAATTGTGTCTGAAGTTAGGAGTATTGTAAAACAATATTCGTTCAGTTAAATTCGATTGACGAAAAACTTCGGGATAATTAGCAAGCTAAGTGAATATGGCGAACACAGTCATATTCTGAGCTTCCCTGAACTTCCAACAAGATTTGGTCGAATTTAACCGAATGGGATAGAATCTTACTGAACGATTTTCACTTGGGATCATTAAGAAGACCACAACATTATAAAACTCATCAATTGTATTTTACGAGTGCTGTTTCTGTTGATTTTCGTAAGAAAAACATCAAAAAGGAGGAACATTCACATACCAATTTTTTTTTGTAACATTTAATTTTATCTCACAGAACTAATTTACTCATATTTCGTTTAGGTATTAAAAAAAACCTAAAAAAGTTCTTTACTATTGTTGAATATCTCATTTGTTTGCACATACTTCAAGAAATGATTTGCTTCCCTAATTGTTGGGGCTTGGGTGTGTGACTATAGACCATGCCGTCACACTAACACTCTTTTTTTCTCATTTTAGAATTAGAATCAAACAAAAGAATGCCATAAATAAATCTATGAGCGGTAGTTGTGCTTTAGGTTTTTTTTTAATGAAAGATTTTTTAAAGAAAACATTGTAATCTATGTATTACAACGAAAATATTGCTCGTTCAGAACCTCGTTATTCGAAATCGTAGACTGGATTAAATATGATGAAGAGGAAAGTAATGAAAATGATAATACATAACGAATGAAGCGCTGTCGAGGGTGAATGCTTATCAAAAACAAACGACGATGGAACTAATTGTGAGATACTTGTTAACAAGAAAGCACAAAATCTAAATCCAATGATTTAATGACTCAATGTTCTAGCTGCACATTCTCCAATAAAATAACTGTAGTCAATTTAAATATTTACATATAATTTCGATGAAATGTAGCTAATAAAAATTCTCAATATTTATAGATTTATTCATCATATTGGAATGTATTTTGATTTGAAAAACAAAAACTAACTAAGATAACAGAATTACATTAATTCATCTCAATTACTGTTTTGTTTTATTTATATATATATGAGTCACTAAAATTTTTGTGTTTTGATATATAATAGAGATGGACATAATCATTGTGCAAAAGAGGTGAGTGAAGAACAAGAATGTCAAATAAAAAGAAAGAAAAATTAGTTAAAAGTAGCACCGACAACAACGAGTAATGACAAAAAAAAAAAAAAAAAAGAAAAAAAAAACGAAAAAGACGAAATACTTGTGATTTTGTTTTAAATAAATGTATTTTCATTTAAACAAGAGAAAGAAAATCAAGATGAAGTTCATGTGGTATATCCAATTGATCAAGTGAAACTGTTGATGGAACATAAGGATATACAAGTGGAAATGTATGTGAAAGATCAAAATTTTCTTGTTGTTCATAATCAATTTTTGTTTGATCTGTTGTTGAACCAAGTCTTTGTTGTTTTAATAAATCAGATACTCGTTTAATTAATGCTGGTGATACTTGATCATCATAATCATCCATTGATTTATACAAACTTAATAATTTTGTTACCTGAAAATTTATTAATTAAATTTATTTTATATTAAGAAAAAATTTTTCTTTACTTGAACAATTGTAAGTTTTGTACAAACATTACTAATGCTAGTTTCATCTTTTTTACAAAGAAATAATTGAACAGCTTGTGTTAATGGAAGAAGACAATCAGCAGCACCACTTTCTTGTAAATTTTGATCACGTAACCATTCTGTTAAATGATTTAAATTATATCTAAACAAAAAAAATAAAAAATAAATCATTATTTTATTTTTTTATTTCTTAAAAATAAAATTTACCGAATTTGAAGAGCTTTACTCCAATTACAACAATCACTTCGTACAAGTAAACCACGAAAAGCTTGAGCATTAATTATATAAAAAATCTTAAATAAAAATTAAAAAAAAAATATATTTTAATTTTGAATAAAATCAATATAAAACAAACTTGTTTAAATAATTGTTGAATAATAGCTGGTTCAACTGAATACATTTGAACTAATTTATGATAATCATTTAACTAAACAAAAAAAAAATTTTATAGAATTTTTCTTATTACAAAAAAAAAATCTTCATACTTGTTTAAGAAGATCTTGTGCTGAAAATTTTGAACGTTTATCATTTGAAGTTGATGTGGATGTCATTGGATTTATAGATAGAATACCACCTGATTCAAGATCTTCATGTTCAATTATAGCAGGAACTAAATAATACAAAAAATAATAAATTTAATTATTCTATTATTAAATAGAATTAAAAAAATCTTACTTATCATTGGTAATAATTTAGCTTTAATTCGTTTAAGAGTTTCATCATATAAATGAACAACAAGATCAGCAAATATAGTTCGATAATCAGTTAAATCAAAATTTCTTAATGCTTGTTCATTTTGTTTTGGTGTATTTGTAGTTTGATATTTCTTTTATGAAAATTTATTCATTTTATTAATTATATCAAAATAAAAAAAAACCCATACCTCTTCACCACTATATTGTTGTAATGTATGAAGAAATCGAACTGTATTTGTTGTCCATAAGATTGGATAATCAATATCTTCATTTCTCTATAATAATTCAAGTTAAGTTTTTTTTTTTTGTTAATATTGAATGAGAATTTAAAAAAAAAAAATGTTTATTCTTACTCTTGGAACTTTTTTAATTTTTTTTGTTACAGCAGATAAAAATCCAGCAACATGTGCTTCATCATCAACAAAATCAATATATCGAATACACATAAAAATTATATAAGCTGGAATTCCAGGAATATATTTTGCAGCTAAACGAGGTTTTAATTCTATATAAACAACATATTTATCAGATTTTAACATAAAAAAAAATAAATAAATTATCTAAGATAAGACAAACCAAGAATGACTGCATCTGTAATTCGTTCTGTTTCTTGTGGAGTACATTTAATCATTCCACTCAAATGTTTTATACTTTGACGACGAAGATCAACATTTCCGGGCAGATTTGCTGTTGTTGTTGTTATTGACATTGAATTAGAAGCATCGATTTGACTAGCATATGAAGGAATACCACTTATTGATCCATTTTGTAGTACTTGTTCCCAAGATACATTTCCTATTTTTCATAAATCAAAATTAAATTATATTTTATTAAAACAAAACTATTGAATAATGCTGAAAGAAAAAAAAATTGTCTATGATATGTCTCGCATGTAGAACCAGAATTTGAAGATTTGTGAGAACAAAGATTTACCGAGATCTGGATCGAGACTACAAGAAAAGTTGTCTCAACCGGAACTAAAGATTATACATGATGACCCAAAAGTCACCAGGCAGTCTTTAATTTCGAATAACTTTTGATAGGATCAAGATAAAAAGTTGCGGCTTTCACTATTCCAAAGAAGCTCTGTTACTACGTGATTCCATGTACTATTCGGCAGCACTGCTTGTTGCCATGATAATCAGTCAATGGTCTTCGATAAAATGCTGGCAGCTCTATTGAAATTACGTCGAAGTTCAATTATAAAGAGTACGTTAGAATCGTGCACCTATGAATCACGCTCGTCATTGTCACTATCTAGTGTTGTATCTAAAACCCTCTATCGGAAGGAGATAATAGGTTCGGTTGCTAGCGTAAATCATGAGGACATCAATTGAAGCTACTTCGTTGAATTGAACTTCTATATTCTTTTCATAGAGTTATCAAAAGCTTTCTAAGGATCACTTGAATAATACATAGAGCTTCGTAGTAACAGACCTTATTTTGAATGGTGAAAAGTGCAACTTTTTATCTTGATCCTATCAAAAATTGTTCGAAAATATAGATAGCCCGGTGATTTCGGGCCCATCATGTAATTAAACATTCTATAGTTTTAAGAGAATTATCTTATAGTTCATATCAATCAGAA